CCCGTCACATGTGGAATGGTTGAAAAAGATGTGGTACTTTTATATAATGGAGTACTACTCAGGTATAAAGAATGATAAACTTGAAGCCTTCATATTTAAGTGGATGCCCCTTGAAGATATACTTATTAGTGAAATAAACCAGACCCACATCTGTAAATATCGTATTGTCTCCCTAATATAATGACTTACAATTTCGTATGCTGTTAGGTTTCTAAATTTCTTTGTAAAAATATGTAAATGTTCATTTCTACTTTTATATAATTATTTTTCCTTCACATTCTGTAAGCACTTAAAATTCAACATATCAATATCTGATGGAAAATACCTGTGATATGCCAAAATGTTTGACACTTAGACGGATAGGGTAAACTGAACTGCATATATTGCAGGTTAATAATTAGCTTTTTTTCTGGAGGGTTAACAACATAAGTTAGATCAAAGTTGGAGAAAAGGAAGGGCTGCATGGTTCGCCAACATTTTGGCCCTAGCCTTGCAAGGTCAGGGAAGACTTGGGACATATTAGAACCTGTACTGTAACAACATGTAACTCAGTTGTGCTCCAAATTATCTGATCAAGAAGATTATGGAGTCACAGAGGAATTTTTTCAATGATGTAAAGTGAGCCTTGGGAGAGTAACATGGAGAGAGAAAACATTTTCTCAAGCTTTCACAGAGAGCAAATTGGTTAAGCAATGGCCGGGACTCATCTTCATGTCAGACACTGACAAAAGGATGTACAAAGAGCGGTACAGGGCTACCGGATAAATCCTGAAAGTACTTGACTGATCTTATCAGATACAAAAGTTAAATTTCTTGTTATATATGTCTTGCTATATCTTGGTCTTAACCATCCAGCAGAAAAGTATAAAAATGAGTTATGTAAAGTAAATCCATATTAATACGATGAACTGTAAAAGGCTCAAGTCAATAACTTCTGAAGATAACCCACTAATATTATAGACTGCTAGACAGTGTTAGATTGTTTAGTTGAATTCAAACACATATAGTATTTAGATGCCAATAGAATATTCACCTCTGACGGGACAAAAAGAAAAAAATGGATACAAAGGAAAGATCATTTTGTATTTATACATACAAAATAGTTAGGATACATTTACAGCTACTTTTGCTTAATTCTATGAGAAGAAAAAGGTATACTAACAGTGTTTGGACAGGATATCCTGTCTGCTTCTTGTACTATGGATAACCACTAAGAAGATAACAATGTACAGTGTATTGATTATCAAAACTGTCCTATTAATCAGCTGTGAAACTGTCTCATTCCTATTCATTTCTCAATAAAAAAAATAAATAAAAGGTGTTATGCCATAAGAAAATTAGACTTTATTGCTAGCATTTAAAATCATTCTGAATCAAACTATTACAAAGTGTGAAAATCTTGACAGAAAAAATTTTTTAAGAGTACAACACTTATAATCAAGGCAAAAGAAATTTATAGAAATTAAACATTGCAGCTAGACACAATAATATATTGGATTGAAATTAATATACTATTTTCAATCACTGTGATTCTGGTCACTTAAGGAAATTGTTGTGCTCCTTGAAGCCCTGGGGCTCTTAAACAAGTTGTTCTTAACCTCAATTTAACAGCATACTTGATGCTATGCTGAAGATACAAAGGCAAATATTTTGTAAGTGCAATCTACAAATTTACTGTGGTCTGACATTTTCAAGCAAATAATCATTTCACTAAAAGAAAGCATCACATATTACCTTAGAGTAAATGTAGTCATAATTTATTTAGATTATGATATATAAACACTTAAGCCTTAAGAGTATGTTTGGCAATAAGAAGATGGGAAAATAACGAATTTGGTGTGGGAAACACTGCCAGACCTGTTGGACAAAGTCAGCAGTGTTCAAGGGACTATTCACAGCCTTCATCTATGTAAATAGGTCTAGCCATTCTCCACTTCTAATTACCGTGCAAGCATAAACCACAATTCTATATCTCTTCTTCTGGTAATCTCTATAGCCACAACTTGAAAAATCAGAAATTATTTTCTATCTGTAGTGATGCATATTGAACCATTGGCTTTGCACATACTAGGCAACACACTAGGCAATTACTGTACTACTGAGCTACACCCAAGTCCCTTGAATCATGCCATTCTATAATCGCCTTTCAAAATCGGAATTGAGTATAAATATATATTTCATGATTTTACTTGCACATAGGTCCTACTCTTTAATTTTTTTTTTTTTTTTATTTTACTGGGAGTTGAAATCAGAGAAGTTTTTTTTTTTTTTTTTTTTTTTTTGAGACAAGGTCTTAATAAATTGCCCAGGCTTAACTCAAACTTGTGATTTTCCTGCTTCAGCCTCCCAGAGTCCTAGAAGTACAGAGAAGGCCTCCTTTATAGTTGTGAGTTGTCTATTCTGAAATACTAGATGGAGTGAGCAGGAACAAAACACTCACTCCATGCATATGTAGATGTGCTCTGAGCTGGACAGTAGAACTATTAAAAGTTACCTGATTAAAAAGCCTGATACATGTAAGATCTGAAAAGGACAAAATCATTGGTGATGTTATTCAATGCAGTGAGAAGCAAAGACAGTTTCAACTAGCTTTTGTTCAAAGCAATGTGTTCCAAATGGGAATGCCCTTCTCCATTTTCAGTATAACAAGCACAGTGGGTGACCAATGTAAAATGAAGCACTACTAACACCTATAATCTACTATCACAGAAATGTAAACACCGTCTAAAAAGCTAAAGACTATTTGAACCAAATTTTCCCAATTCCAAGCTTCTCTGAGGCAGCTGCAATTAACAATTTGGTATTTATCTTTCCAGATGGTTCACAAAGCCTTTAAATTCTTAACACATATCTTAACAAAAATGTTCCCATAGTGCCGCACAGCATCTCCTAAGGTGGATGTATAATTGCCTATTTTGTTTTTCCTCCCTGATGAGGAATATTTAGATGACTTCTATTTTTTTATTTAAATGAAGTACAAAGTATATAGTATACTATATATACAATATATACAAAGTATATAGTAGTGCTGTAGTAAATAGACTACACAAGCACAGGCATGTTTATTTGGGGTTGGTAGAAAAAGAAGATAGAAATTTAAAATGAAATAGCAATTCTCCTTTTCTGAGAATATTTACATTAGGAAACTTTCAGTTCATTCTCTTGAAATGGGTGCACATCATCCTGTGACCTAAGTTGGAATCATAGCTTTCTCAAGTCCTCAAAACCATCCCTCTGGATCATAGGTCCTCTATTTCTTTTTTTTTTTTTTTTTTTTTTTTTTTTTTTTGAGAGAGAGAGAGAGAGAGAGAGAGAGAGAGAGAGAGAGAGAGAGTGGTGTGTGTGTGGCCAGCTCAGCCCACCAGGGGGCGGGGCTGGCTGGCATGTGGTGCTGGGGGATTGAACCGCGGTCCCTGATGCTTTGCCAAGCTTGTTCTAAGTAGGTGCCTTAGACCACTGAGCCATCTCTCCAGCCCCATAGGTCCTCTATTTCACTCTGACCTCTAGAAGCCTACCTGCGATATCCTGCTCCAATCCACAAAACTCTTTTGTAGCAAAGATTGGAAAAGTTGCTTTTTTTCATTGATAAAACCAGTGATCAAACGCTTACGATCTTATCAATTACTAAGTGGATAGGAGATGAGCTGTGTGTCACATATTGTGCCACATGTGTCAGTATGGAGGACTAGTTCTGATGTATTTTTAATAAATAGTTGTGTAATGTGTTAAATAGTTCTGGCTATCTTGGAAAAATTTCCTCCTGTCTTTGTGGTCTTGCTGAGTTGCCTAGAATGTGCACAGCATTTTGGTTGAATACTTATTCAATATTCAATGCTAAAAGAGCTCTATCTTCTATTTTTACAGAGAGGTTCTCTGAGTTGGGAAGGGATTTTGTTTTTAATTTTACTTTCCTAACAATAATAGTTTCACTTCTTGACAAGGCATGGACGAAAAGTGAAAATTGAGGAGCCATTTGGGAAGGTAGCTTTATAGCATCTATTATGATAAATTTAGTCTACCACAGATTACCAACTTACTTTCCTGCTTGTTTGTCAACATGAAGAATATAACCAAACTAATAATTTTTACAAATCTAATGTTTTCTATTTCTAAGGGTTACTGCTCACTAATATTTTATTATGCATCATTATTTCTGTAAGACTGCTGGTTTTATAGTCTTTCCCTATTTTTATTAATTGCCTGAGTTTCTATTACCTTGCTTATTAACCTTCACCTAATGGGACAGATCATACATATATTATGTTCTTTTTTCTGTTGTATTCTATAATTGCGTTTATGGAAGCTGCTGTATAAGACTTGTTTTTTTTTTTTGTTGTTGTTTGTTTGTTTGTTCTTTTTGATACAGGGTCTTGCTATGCAGTTCAGGCTATAGTGATCCTCCTGTCTCAACCTCCCCAGTGCTGGGGATTACAGGTGTGCATCACCACACTGATGGGGCCACACAGCATGTGGTACCAGGGATTCAACTAGGATCTTTGAGCTTGCCAAGCAGGTGCTTAGACATCTGAACTATCTCCCCAGCCCTACATATGATATTTTGATATAACCAAGCATAATTGTTTTTCCCTCTTTGCATTGAGGATGCAAAAAGTTGTGTTTTTGTTTTTTTTTTGGAAAATAAAAACAAAAGCAAGAACAAAAATCTGAAATAAAGACAGAAACAGGGTAACATACAACAATACATGTTACAGATTTTCAAAACAGGAATAGCTGATTAACAATCGTTGATATATTATTTTTTATTGTCAAGTATGCTGCACAGATTAACAGATATTGTTTCCCTCCATGCTGAACTTTTTATAGTTTTATTTCTTAATTTTGTATTTAAGCTATTTTCCATATTGTATCATTCTTGGAAGTGAGACAGAATTATCATTTACTTTTTTTTTCCCCAAAGGACTAACCAATGGTAGCAGCAATCCTGGAAGGTTAGTTCAAAACTGTAAGCAAGAATGTTTGTCTTCTTCAGTGGTTGAAAGCAAATGTATAGTCTTCTCACTGTATAAGGCCTTCTGATTTTTAATGACAATGACTTGTAAGTAAAAATGAAAGTGTATATTTTAAGCATTTATATTTTGAGTAATCATAGATTTTATTTTATTTTTTAATACCATAGATTTTAAGCTGAAGAATATTTTCCTCATGATACGCTGTTTTCAAAATAAACATCAGATTTTCTGTGAAAGCATTTCTGAGCTCCATTCTCAGATAACTAACTCAGCAAGTGTACACTTAGTCTCAGGAATTCTCACTGAACAGCTTCAGTGCTTCATGTACAAAACGCAGGATCCCAAACTACACTTCTAGAAAATCTCCACCTTTGATAGCAATCACTTCACAATCTGTATCGGGTTACTGACCTGTGCATGGCAGGTTAAAACACTTGCATTTTCATAATATGTGAGATTCACAGAAAGAAGAAATACAGATCCTTTCATTCATAAAGTACCATGCAGTGTTTGAGCCATCCTGCATATGCGTGTGCATGTGTGTGCGCATGTGCATGTGTGTACAACTGGCTTTTTAAAAGTGAATAAAGGAGCCACGGTGTTCTCTTGTTTCACCCTGACTTCAAATGTTATGTTACACACAGGGAAGGAAACCTCAAGTATGAGGCAAACTGTCAATGTCTCATCCTGCATTAGCACTAGGGTATAACATAAAAGCTTTAACATATTTTTGAGAGAAATAAATTGGATAACGCAGTCCTTGAAAATAAAAAGAGGGGCCTGGGAGATAGCTCAATGGCTTAAATGCCTGCCTAGCAAGCGCAAGGTCCAGAGTTCAATTCCCAGTACCGTCAAAAAAAGAAAAGAAGAAGTAAACAAAATTTTCTAAGGCAGAAAAATAGCATCTTAGAACAGCATTAACTCAAAATACAGGCCACACACTTTACTTAAAATATTTATTATTTTCCTTCATTTATTGTATTGTTTACTGACAATACAAGCACTGTTGAATCTGCTGGAAGTTTTTCAACCATTACAGTACAAATGTCCAAGGTTTTTATATAAAATTATACAAGATCACATTTCTGTCACAATTCATACTTTAGATGTTTAGATATCAGTGTAAGTGCTTTGAAATAAATTCTCTTTTTAACTATTACCATTACGGATCAGAAAGTACTCTTGAAAAATATGCTCCAATTCTAAGTAAAGAGAACTGAATAGTAGTACCAGTATGGCCCTTGGTTGGAAACAAACACTCTACAGAGTGTAGAGACGGGACTAGGGAAAGAGAGGAATTATTCATGTACATTGTTTCCCAGTGGTAATAAGTGAGCCCAGAAGGAGCCACCCACAATACAGAAGTGGTAGGAATAGCTTTTTGAGATAGTACAAAAGGTAACAACAGTTTCAGAAAGTGCGACCACATGACACTCCTGCCATGACAGGTGGACTCACGGTATTTAAGAGAAAAAAGTTTACATGAAGTACCAATTCCAAATAGGTGACAGACCTTCCAAACAGTAACTTCAAGAGTTTGCGGCTAAGAGAGTCTACACATCTCTTGAGCAGTGAGGTCAGACAGTGGAGACAAAGCTATAGGCTCAACGTTATTGGAACACTGCAGGAGTTCATTACCACCCCAGAGCTTACACTAAAATCCCACCACCAGGAAATCACTTACAAAGAGGTTTAAAAGAATGTAAACAATATCCTCCAAAGGATGGTGACAGCAACAAAAGCCTGGGGTCATCTGTTAAGTCACAGAAGCGTGAGTGGGCTGTTCTCTCCACCTGTTCCAATTTTAAATGATCAGAGGGGCCAAGTGTAACAGGACTGTGAAGACTCACAGCCCACAGCAACTTTTGGTCATCCTCCGGCATGTACTCGGGACCAAGGCAGGCACAAGAGAAGCAGAAGCCACGTCAGCAGCACTGTGCTTTGCGCTTTCCTACTGAGGTTTCCTGATCCAATTTAATTTTGTCCACATCGTTGTCTTCACTAGGAAAGTGCGTACAGTTTGTGAGAATGTTCTCCACCAGGAGCTGGGCAGCTTCGTCTATGTTTATATTATCCTGTAACACAAAAGCAAAGAATAGCGCCAATGCTGGCATTGCCTCCATTCTTAAAAGAAAATGTTGAATATTAAGGAAACAGATTTGTCAGAAGGGACGCTAAGGACTTCATTTTCTCTAATACTCACATACCTGCATACTGAGTTCAACATCACTGAGTTGTGTGGCTATAGGAATAAATTTTTTCTTTTATCTTTCTAACCAGGAACATTTTTTTGATGTTCCTGTTGAAAGCCCTGTGGGTTCAATGAGCTATCCTGATGGCTGAAAATGAACCACCTTGTTCGAGTTGTCATAGTAGACAGCCCTCAGATTAGAAAACCTCTGCCCTTGAGTTTATAATTGAAATATTCATGTTGCCAGTGAAGGAAAAAGTAAAGGGGGCTTAAACTACATCAAAATTTGTTAAAGCACCCTATCGCTCTTCCGTCTGTGAGCACAAATTAATATTTTGAGTTATTATGCATAATTAGCCTAAAATCATGTTGTAAATATGATGCCCTTTAAGGAAACCCTCAGAATCACTAACTCACAGCATTTGTATGGCCTTTTCATAAATTCTCACAAAATTCACAATCAACAACACAGAAAATACTGTTGCTTACTTTTAAAAATAAGTTCACATCTCCAAAAGCATTGCAAAATGTAGCGAGATTTCCTGGCTGCACCTTCACCCACAGTCCTTCAGGGTTAGCAGCTTAGGCAGCCACAGTGCAGACCCAGAAATCAGGACATTAGGTGAGAATATTGTCACAACATTCATCCCCCAATGCTATTTCGCTCCCCCCAGCTACTGGGCTCTTTCTCTGATGCAGCATCAGAAGCTGTGTTTTGTTGTCACATCTCCGGGGTGTCCTTTCATCTAGGACAGGGACTCAGTTTCTTTGCCGCTGTGACCGGATACTCTTGGGGAGCATTCACTAGAAAATATCCCTCAGTTAGGGCCTGTTAATATTTCACCACGACTCAATTCCATTTTACCTTCTCGACAGGAGCAAGACAGGTATCTGTATCCCCAGTGCACCCGCCGAAGTTGCAGCTGCCAGGCTTCTCACCTACGTTTTCCTTTTCTACTTAGTAAGAACGGAAGTGCGAGTTTCCTGTTTCTCACCTTCTGTATACTCACTAATTCCAGGACAGGACCTGTTATTTATCCCCTGAAACGATTAACATGGTGTTTAAGGGTGACTTTTCATTACCATCACTCTTTTTGTATTAGTTGGGATTCTACTTTTATTATCTTTTTATTATTTTTGTAGTTTAGGGGAAGGGCCTAGAAGGATGTTTAGGGTCTCACTACTAGATGGGACTTATAGTGATCCGCCTGTTTACAGCCTCTCAAGTGCTGGGATTACAGATGTGTACCACTGCACCCAGTCTCAATTGCTATCTCAGTGTGCCATGGGGGCGGGGCCAGCACGGTAGGTCCAGGGATTGAACATCGGGCCTCTGAGCCTGCTTTAATCTACTGAGCTATTTGGCTGGCCCTTGGGATTCTACTTTTAGAAAAAGATTCTATCCTCCACGTATTTGGCATTTGTTCGTGCACAGCATAGGTAACTTAAGCTTGTGAGGCAATTCCATTTTGACATTTACTGTGCTGGTTCATCTTCCTTGGTCTTTCAAAGCTGCTAGAAAGAAGCCCCGAGTCCCTGTGGTGGGTCTCCATCATTTCTTTGACTGCATCTTTAGATTCTTGGCAATGCAAAACATCTCAGGCAATCTTAAGTTTCTTGTACCATCAGTTACTTCCCTAGGAATCTTCTTTCAGCTTACTAGAAAACCATATTCAAAAACCAAATTGCAGAACCAGGAACAGGGCCTAGTGGTAGAGCACTTGCCTAGCATGCATGAGGTCCTGGGTTCAATTACCAGTAACAACAATGAATTCTAAGGACTAGAAGAGTTCATTCATTTTTTTAGTTTCCTTGTTTCCAAGCCCTCTTAACAAAAAGAGCAGCAAGTTTAGGTAGAGTTATGTTTATACTTCTTTACCCATTTCTCTGTCTTTTTATTTATATGGCTATGTGTGCATGTATGTGTTTATGTAAAACTGCACAAATGTTTATATTGTTATCCTCAATCAAATCTAAGACCTTGAGGTCTATGATAGCCTTCTCCCTTATTTATGTTACCTTTCTCAGATGGTGGGAAAGTTAGAAAAGCTGTTGTTTATTCAGGTGTCTTTCAGCAGATCAACACCTTTTAAAACTTCTTTGATCTCAAAATAAATGTTAACTTTAATATAAGCTCAGAGCTTTGACTGTCCAAGTATAGCTCAGTCCTCATTATCCCCATTACAGAAAACTGCTCCACTGCACTTGGTCACAGTGATCAGGAACAGAAATTGAATTAGTCACAAAGTATCATACTAGCAGTCCATTATTTGCCATAAAAGGACGAAATGTATACATGCATACGTGTCTTTCTCATTAGAATTCAGAACATTAGAACTCAAGCAAAATCAGATGTAAAGCCAGCTGCAGGCCGGCTCAGTAGATCTATGGTGTTTACTAGCCATCCTTAGAAAGTAGATGAAGCACTGAACTGCAGATTTTTAACTTAAAATATGTATCACTGCTATACCCTGAAATTTTCTGCTGTATTAAATAGGAAATTCTTTAGAAATTGTTTTTAGTACATTTATATGAAAGCTCGGAACACATCTGCACCTTGTAACCAAGTTCTCCTCAACCCTGTCCATGTATCTTCTCTATAAATAAAATAAATCCACACATACATCTTCAAAGTTTAGGCCATACAATATTGTTATAGTTTGTGTCCATTTGTCCCCCCAAAGCCTCATGGAAGTCATGAGGCAGGCTTGCTTCTATTTGTGATTAGTTTATGATACACTGGGATTATGGGTGTGAGTACTGCTGGGATTATAGGTGTGAGTGCTGCTGGGATTATGAGTGTGAGTGCTGCTGGGATTATGAGTGTGAGTACTGCACCCAGCCTGG